CTCAGCACCACATAAGCAAACAGAAAAAAGCCGGAAGTGGCGCTGTGGCTCAAGTGGTAGAGTGCTAGCCTTGAGCTGAAGAGCTAAGGGACAGCGCCCAGGCCCAGACTTCAGGCCCCACGACCGGACCCAAAAAAAAAAAAAAAGATCTCAGCATCCTGAGTAGCTAGGATTACAGGTGTGAGCCACTGCTACCCAGTTAAGTCCCCATTTGACTAAATTACAATCCCCTCAGGCCCCTCTCTTCCTAACACCCAGCAACCATGCTGTGGCACCCTGTGGGGTTGCTGTGGTACCTGGGCACCCACAAGTCCATCTCTAAGGCGATCCAGGCTGGTCTGGCCATGGCTGAAGTTTCTCAGGTTAACATCCGGTAGACCTTTCTGGTAAAGCTGCCTCAGGACCAAGGGAAAGTCGTTGTGGCTGAAAGGAAGTTACAGAAGGGTCAGAACAGGGATAAAAGTTTGAGTTCCTTAGATACCAGGCCAGGGAGGGCATATTCCAGAGGTCTCCCCCTGCACACTGTTGTCAAGACTATAATGAGATTCCTTGAAGCCTGGGGTTTCGCAGGAAGGGGAAGGGCACTGAGGGGTGGATGATGGGAGAGTGGACCATGTAGACATGGTATGGGGGGGCGGGCTTTTTGCTGTCCCCATAAGCTCAGAACCTTCCCCTCCTCAGGGGTGCCCTCAGAGCCCACCCACACCTACGCACCCATCCACAAGCGGGAAGTCCCTCATCAGGGCCCGAGCACGCTCTCGCAGACCCAGGCCTGACATAGTTGGGGCACTGGGGGTGCCCGTTGTGAGCAGGGTGCTGGGGGTGCTGGGCAAAGTCGGGGCGCTGGAGCTGCTGGGCGTGGTCTGGGCCGCGTTGGCTGGCTGGGCAGGCCCCAGCAAGAACACGACCGTCAGCAGGTACAGAGCGGGCAGCAGAGGCCGCCGGACCCCCGCCTGGGGACCCTCGAGGCCCTTGGGCTGCATTTTGCTCCGGGCTCTGGGCCCAAGGAGGTGGCAGAGCCTGAGGAGGACAGAAGACGACGATGACGATTGGGTCTCCACCCTGGGATCCAGTCTCCAGGGGTTGAAGTCGCCCCACCCTGCGACGCCTGCCACGCGGGGTGTCGCAAACGTCGCGCAGCACCGCCGCCAGAGGGCGCCACGGCCCTCCCGTGCCCCGGATCCCAAAGGGCGCCCCCAGGGGCTGGGCGGGCCGCTGCCGTGAGCACCGGGCGGGCTCTCCTGTTCTTTCAGCACCGCCCCCGCCACTCCCTGGTGGGCCTCCCGGCTACTTCTACGGTTTCTTCCTCGCCCAGAGAAGGGGCCTGGGGGGCTTCTCCCAGAGAGTAGTAGCCTCAGCCAGGCGGCCTCAGGTCCCCAACCTCCTGCCACTTTCCAAGGCCGCAGGTGTCTGTGACCAACGGTGCTCTGGGCGTGTAGGGTGGGTGTAGGGGAGGAGATGGGCTCTGGAAATGAGTTAATCTTATGGAGTCCATAAGTTCAGGGGCGCTCTGCCCCAGGGACCTCTCTTCACTCCTGTATCTGTCTCACCTCTCCTCTCCCTTGGGGACTGGGGACTGTTAAGAGCACCCCCCAAACAGCCTCAGGAATTGCTCCCTCCTTGGGAGTGTGCTGTATCTGCCCTTGGAGGGTCGGTTGTCAGGAGAACCGAACCAGCATCAGGGAAGACTGACTTACTAGAGCAGGAACTCAGTCATTCCCAACTATTTGGATGGAAGGAGAGAGAGAAAGAGAGAGAGAGGAGAAGGAGGAGGAGAGAGAGGAGAGAGGGAGAGAGATTGATTTCCACGGTAATAGAGCCCCACACCCCAGCACCTTCATTCCAGGGCTGCTGGCTGTTCTGCTTGGCCAGGTTCCCTCCTACCTCAATGTGCAAGTCAAGTCAGAAATTCAGCTCCTAAAGAAAGGCCTGACACCAGGGTCCTGGGGCTACATCCAACTTCTCACGAGACTGTTGTTTGAGAAACCTTCAGGGCTTAACTTAGTTCCCTTCCTTGTTTGGCAGGCCCCACCCTTACCCTAGCTATTTCCTCCAGGGATCCCCCAGAACCACGTGCTCACACCCACTTGGCTTATATGTCATCTCCTGGAAATGCCACCCATTGAAAGGGTTTGTGAACTGTGCTCAGACTCCATTTCCAGCTGCTGTCCTTTAGCATCTTAAATTTTTGAACTCTAGCACTTGTTGGAGCTCCTCTAGTTTTGGAACCTTCTTTCGGTAGCCAGATTGATCAGTGCATGAGGACTTGAGATGCAAGAAGGCCTCCTAAAAAAGGAAATGAACAAGCTCTTCCAGTGTCTGGACATCCTGAGCTATCCAGGAGGAAGTTTTTGTTTTTGCCAGTCCTGGGCCTTGAACTCAGGGCTTGGGCACAGTCCCTGGGCTACTTTTGCTTAAAGCTAGCACTATGCCACTTGAGCCACAGTGCTTCTTCCAGCTTTTTCTATTTATGTAGTACTGAGGAGTCAAACACAGGGCTTCTGCATGCTAGGCAAGCACTCTACTATTAAGCCACATTCCTAGCCCCTAGCTTTTTGCTTTATGTAGAAAGCCTTCCTCCTTGGCCAGGCTTAATGGCCTGTACAAGATCGCTTACCCTGTGAAGGCCAGCATGTGAACTCCAACTTCAAATGTGGCTGAACATCAGGCCACACCAGAGAAGCTATGTGTGTGTGGGGGGGGGGGAGAAAGAGAGAGAGAAATAGAGAGTATACTGGGCTTGAACTCATTGAACTCAGAGCATGGGCGTTACCTCTTAGCTTTTTTGCTCAAGGCTGGTGTTCTATCACTTGAGCCTCAGCTCTACTTCTGGCTTTTTGGTAGTTAATTGGAGATAAGAGTCTCAGGGACCTTCTTGCCCAGGCTGGCTTTAAACTGCAACCCTCGTATCTCAACCTTCTGAGTAGCTAAGATTACAGATGTGAGCCACCAGTACCCAGCTCTGCTCTCCATTTTAATTATAACAAACTGGCCTGAGTTCTGCCACAGTTCAAGGCATCACTGTAGGGCTTGTATAATTAGAAGCTGCACCCAATGAACACTTTTGAAGACAGAAGACCTTTCATTGTGTAGAAATGTACATCAGGGTGGGAGGTGGGTATTGAAGCTTGGCCTTGGACAAACAAAATTTCAAGTCAAACATAGAAAATCACTTTATTGAGCAATAAGGGCCATAAGGGACTGGGAAAAAAAGAACTATGAACCAAAGGGGGTGGAAGTGGGGTCTTGATGAACTTTCTCCTGGCAGCTGGTGTCTCTGGAGCTCTTCTGCTTCTTGAGGATACAGGCAAGGGGCTCCTGGGGCAACCACTTCTTGTTTCGTCCCACTTCAGCCCCCTTCTGGTTTGTGTTGGTGGTCACTGGCAGCGACTCAGGGGCAGGAATCCATCTGGTACACTGGGGCCCTGCTAGGCCACTCTGCACCATTTCTTGGCTCCTTCTTGGTTTGCACAGGGAAGATTATTCTTTCTTCTACCCAAGAAAAGTCTTCGTCCAGGCCAGCTTCAGCTCTGGGAAATCAAAGCAGCCTCTTCTCTCAAACTTTCTTGCCTGTAGCCAGTTGGAATAGAAGTGGGGTTCCTGGCTGGGGAGGGCTCAGGCAGAATGGCTCAGGTTCTATCTCTAGGGGTAGGCAGTGGCAGTCACTGTTCAATGCTTGTCCTTTCAACAGACTAGCTCGTTTAGCAAGCTTCTGTGGGGTCAGCCTTCTGCCCCCATGGTTCAAAGGACAAATTTTGGGGCTAGGGCAACTTAGATCTTCATCCAACTCTGGAGTTGGATGTCTCTTGGGAGCCTGGCTGGGTACTGGCTTCTCTGTTTTGGTCTTTGCTGGGGTGGCCAGGGGAGCATCCCCGTAGAGCCGGTAACCACCCACCAGGCAGTATGTCTCCCCATGCCAGCTCATCTGGGTTTCTCCGAACCCCTGGTAGAGGACATGGTAGTAAACAGGCTTAGGAGGCGGCACGGGAGGCACTGCTGGAAAGAAAACCAGAATGGATCAGTCACTTGTGCTTCTGGGACCTTCCTTTCACATCCCTTCCTGTTTCTGGCTAAAGCCCTCTTACCTGCTTATCATCCCAACCAATCTTGGGGTTCCCTAAAAAGGGATGCTTGCTATAAAATCACTTGGCTTGGGGCTGGGAAGGTGGCTCAGTGAGGCCCTGGGTTCAATTCCTCAGCACCACATAAGCAAAAAGAAAAAAGCCAGAAGTGGTGCTATGGCTCAAGTGGTAGAGCGCTAGCCTTGAGCTGAAGAGCTGAGGGACAGCGCCCAAGCCCAGAGTTCAATCCCCACAAACGGACCCCCCCCCAAAAAAAAATCACTTGGCTTCTGTGGAGCCAATGACAACAATGGGAGACCAGGATATGTTTCCTTATTCCCAGGGACAACCATGAACCTCAAAATAATTGTAGATGGCACCCCTTAGTTTCTCTCTTACACAAATGAGAAAATTTTCTAAAGGCCTGACATTTTAGAGCTATAATAATAATGGTTTCCAAGTTTTAGAAAAATGTGATCTAGGGCTGGGAATGTAGCTTAATGATAAAACTGCTTGCTTAGCATGCATGGAGCCCTGGGTTTGATTCCTCAGTACCACATAAATAGAAAAAGTTAGAGGGCTGGGAAGGTGGCTCAGTGGTAGAGTGCTTGCCTTGCATGCCTGAGGCCCTGGGTTTGATTCCTCAGCACCACA